GAGCCTTTTTGACACCCCTATGTGCACATGATGATGTACCTATAATAAAGGGAGATAAGTTTAACAAAACTCAATATTCAATGAATGAGCTGAAAAGGGAGTCTAATGCTAGTGTTGTGGGAAGTTTAATGTATGCTCAAGTTTGCACTTGGCCGGATATAGCCTATGCAGTCAGTGTACTTAGCAGATTTCAATCTAATCTAGGATAAGAGCATTGGAAAGCAGCTAAGAAAGTTTTGAGATATTTGAAGAAAACTGAAAGTTATATGCTTACATTCCAACGTTCAAATCATCTTGAGGTGGTAGGATATTCATATTCTGATTTTGCTGGATATTAAAATGATTTGAAATCAACCTCATGTTATATTTTTATATTAGTTGGTGGTACTATCTTTTGTAAAAGTGCTAAACAGACTCTAGTGGCATCTTCTACTATGCAAGTTGAATTTGTGGCATGTTACGGGGCTACAGTTCAAACCGTCTGGTTAAGAAATTTCATCATTGGCTTGAAAGTTGTTGATTCCATCTCAAGACCGATTACCATCTACTGTGATAACAGTGCAGCAGTATTCTTTTCAAAGAATAATAAAAGTTATGGTGGGTCAAAACATATTGACATCAAAATTTGGTTGTTAGAGACAGAGTCAAAGAAGGGCAGACGAAAATAGATCATATTAATATTGAGGCAATGATTGCAGATCCCTTGACTAAGGGACTCGCACCAAAAGTCTTTGAGACACATGTTGCTAATATGGGTATTGTGAAAACATTTGATGTTTTTGGTTAGTGGGAGTTATGTATATATATATGTAAAAAACTATGTTTTGGGCTTGATCCCTTTACGGGGTACGTAGGCAACTCATATATTTTTGGGTACAACCATTTTTGATAATAAAATATTTTTCCCCTATCCATGAACGATTTTAAGCATGCATTTGACTTATATTTTTGATATTATCATGATCTCGAGATATGATAGATAAAGACATAAGATTAGTCTCCTTTGGAGACATTTCGCTTTATTTTAATCTGAAACATTATGAGGACCGATATGAATTAGCACAATTTTTTTGATCACATTTGGTGCTAAATTTATACCATATACTATCACATTAGTTGGAGGATGGGGATCCATGTCGATAAGAATGTTGGCATTTGTAGCTATGGAATGGTCTTATATTGTTTAATTGGTGTAATGACTTCTATGTTCGGTGTTAATATTCTTGTTGGATCGGATCATGTTACATAAGGTGTCATCATTGGAGCTATACTTTTGTGGCCACCTATGTAGTCTAACTCGGGTGTTAAAACTTTGTTATAGCAATCAAATGTTTGTCCAAATGGGAGAATGTTGTAATAATTACATATGTGGGTTCAGATTCGATTGCAAATTTTACGGATTAGATGTATGGCTCTTGATGATATTTGTGTTTGTGCCAAATTTATTAAGTGATCAATTCGACCTTTTACAATTAAACATTTGAAGTATGTGGGCAGGAAATAAACCTTAATTAGGGTTTAAGTCGATAATGGGACGACTAAATAAATTCCTATAAAGAGTCTAGGTCATCTCTTCTCTCTATATTGGTTTCATTAGCTTGACCCATTGATAACTAATACTTTGTGAAAAGCAGGGCGGGGAAGAGTTAGCTACTATTACAACTATTATTCACATCAACAATGGCTTCCGCATGTATGAATTCGATTTATCAATTTATAATTATATGTGATTCTTGATTCTTAGCATGATTAAAAATTTAATTCCAACAGTCATCCCATTGATCTATCAGTTGTATTTATAAAAATGTTAAACTGTATTTATAATTAATTCTCCCATTATCCATAATGAAATGAAATAATTTTTCTTCTAGTATCTTTGTTCTGAGCTAAAGTTATCCAGAATATGCTTTGGGTAAAAGATCGGTCTCAAGAAAAACTAAATACATTGCACTTATTCAGATTAAGAAGAATATGGAAATGTAAAGATCTAAATTGGGTGAAAGCTTTAACTTTGTATCACTCTTTATGGTATTTCAAGAAGAATGATAATGCCAGAGAATTTTTATCCTGCTAGAGCATGGTCCAGTAACTGAAACACACAGTGCAGACAAAGGTGTGGTGGTGCCCTGGAGTTAAAATGGTACACAATTGTCTACTAAGGAGAAACGTTCTATAAGATGTTAGCATCATACATCTTCCATTTAGATTCCAGTAAAATAAATAAACCATGTTAAAAATATGGGGGTAGTCTTGATTTTGCAAATCTCAATGGAACATGTATTATGACACTTCTACCAGTTTTTCTGGACGGTCGTTTCAATTTTTCACTTGAAAACTACAAAAATTGTAGTTTGCACATTCATGTTATTGATTGGCTGTCTCAGGTTGAGAATATTGGGAAAGCTCCAGCAGCTGAAATCCTTCTTGCCTTCCCACCCGCTTTGATCATATAGCTTTGGTCAAAGCGGTAGTCGTTGTTGGCAAAAAGAAGAAGAAATCATATCTTCCTCTTGAAGTTTTTTTTTGGGTAATTAGCACAAAACGTCCCTACTTTTCAATGTTTTTGTGAAAAACGCCCCTACTTTTTGTTATTTGACGGATTACACCATCACTTTTACCTTTTTTTTGCGCAAAACGTTCTTCTGTCAACTCCCCATTAAAATGCTCTGTTAGATCAAAAGGTAATTAGCACAAAAGGTCCCTCCCTTTCAATATTATTGTGCACAATGTCCCTAACTTTCATTTTTTGGTACAATTAGCACAAAAGGTCCCCACCTTTCAATGTTATTGTGCAAAATATTCGTACCTTTTATTTTTTAGCATTTTCACCCCTACCTTTCACCTTTCATTGCGAAAAAGGTCATTCTCATCAATTTTTTCAATAAAATAACGATTTTACCCTCCTATTCAAATAAAACAAAAAGAAAAGATGAATTACCAATTGCAACCATAGTCCTTAAATTTTTAAAGAATTACAAAGAAATCATAAATTTCCAACCACAACCACTTTTACAACCTATCAAACTGTCAACTATAAATCAACATAACACCACCTTTCTGCCACCATGCCTACCGGACTCCACCACCGTAAATGTGGTTGTTTCGGACAGATTGATGAGCAATACTATGGAGGAGAATATTGGAGAGAGTGAGGTGAGGCTGGTGGTGGTGGTGGTGGAGTCCGATAGGTGTTGTGGCCGAAAGGTGGTGCTATATGGATCTATAGGAGGTGGCTTGGTAGGATTATGAAAGTGGCGGCAGTGGATAATTTAGGATTTATCTGTAATGTTTTGAAAGATTTAGGATTATAATTGCAATTAATTATTTATTTTTGTTTTTGTTTTATTTGAATAGGAGGGTAAAATCATCATTTTATTGAAAAATGGATAAAAAGGACCTTTTGCGCAATGAAAGGTGAAAAGTATGGGTGAAAATGCTAAAAATGAAAGGTAGGGATGTTTTGCACAATAATATTGAAAGTATGGACCTTTTGTGCTAATTATGCTAAAAATGAAAAGTAGGGAATTTTGCACAATAATATTGAAAGGTAGGGACTTTTTATGCTAATTATCTTTTGATTTAACGGATCATTTTAACGGAGAGTTGACAGAAGGGCGTTTTGGGCAAAAAAAGGTAAAGGTGAGGGTGTAATCCACTAAAAAACGAAAGGTTTGGACGTTTTCCACAAAAACAATGAAAGGTAGGGACATTTTGTGCTAATTACCCCTTTTTTTATGAGTAATCAAATATTTTATTAATCATAATCCACTAAAAACGAAAGGTTTGGACGTTTTCCACAAAAACAATGAAAGGTAGAGACGTTTTGTGCTAATTACTCCTTTTTTATGAGTAATCAAATATTTTATTAATCATGGATAATACGCAAGAAGTGTATTATCAATTAATACAAGACAGAAACGACATGAAATTGGGCAACCCGTATATACGAGTAAAAGACACAGCATTAAACCAAATATACAGTGTGAAATAAAAAGATTCTTTAATTCGCTCTGTTGTCCGTGTATTATTGTCGAAATAACGGCTATTTCTCTCCCTCCAAATACACCAGACGATGCACCCTGGGACAAGGCCCCAAACAATCTTGCTATCTTTATTACGAAATCTTCTCCCACATGCCTTCAACAGATCCTCCATTCGCTGTGGAAACACCCAGTCCATGTGTTGGGAAGCCAAAATATCGTTCCATAGGGTGTGAACACCGTCACAATGAAGGAACAAGTGGTCAATCGTCTCCCCATCCTCCGACACATGTAATACCATTCTGTAACATAAAAGCCCCTACATCGGAGGTTATTCACCGTTAACATTTGTCCCTTCACAACCGTCCATAAGAAAAATACCACCTGAGGGGGCAGTTTACAACGTCATACCTTCTTCCATGGGAATGAACTCTCCTTAGGTTTCAATAAAGATCTAAAATAAGAGCTTACTGAGAAAATGTCATCGCGTGCCAACCTCCACTTGCTACGATCACTTTCGCCCACCCTGACGTGCACCTCATACAAAGAGGTTAGGAGTAGTGCATAATCATCCAATTCCCAGTCCTGTAGACCCTTCCCAAAAGCGATGTTCCAGCTGGGATTCCCATTATGCACATGTAAGACTTCATGCACCATATCCTACGGCATCAAAGTAATATGATACAGGGAAGGATACTCTGCTCTTAATGGTCGATCTCTACACCAACAATCTTCCCAGGATCTGATAGTATTACCATTTCCCACCTCATACGTCAATCTATCTTGAAATTCTCTCCACCCTTGTCATATATACCTCCATAAACTCACCCCATAAGAACTACGATGCTCGGCTGAGCACCATCCCTCCTCTAGAATACCATATTTCGCGTCATAATCTCTAAGCTCTCCCTCTCCACATTGAAGCGCCACAACCATTTACCCAATAAGGCCTTATTAAACAAAACAAGACTCCTCAATCCGATGCCCCCCATTTTTATGGAAGAACACACCACGCTCCAGTTAACCGAGTGAAGTTTCCTCTCTTCCCCTAAACCTCCCCATAGAAACTCTCTTTGAATCCTCTCTAATCTTTTTGCTACGATAATGGGGATAGGAAATAATGACAAGAAGTAAGTGGGTGACAAGAAGTAAGTGGATAGATTCGATAAAATGGACTTGATGAGTGTAAGACGGCCTCTCTTTGAGAGGTACATATGTTTTCAACCCGCTTACCTCCTCTCCAACATTTCCACAATACTATTCCAAATGTGTATGTTTTTAAACCATGCTCCTAATGGGAGCCCAAGATAGGACATAGGCAGTGGCGCAGTCTTACAACCCAATATGGCCACCAACTCCTCCACATTAGCGACATCTCCAACTATGATCCCCAAAGCATAGTAACAGACTGCACAAGTTCCTAAATTGCTCAGCCTCTACATCACAAAAGATCAATGTATCGTCTGCAAATAGCAAATGGGAAACCTGAAACTAGTTAACATATAGCCATTCAACGGACTTTCTCCCACAGCTTTCTCAAGCATACCACTTAAAGCCTCCATAACAATGACAAACAATAATGGAGACAATGGATTCCCTTGCCTCAAACCTCTACTACTCCGGAAATAACCCTCAGGAGTGTCATTTACCAAAATCAAATACGAGACCGTAGATACACAAAAATGAATCCAACAGCACCACTTGTCCCCGAAGCCACATCGCCTGAGCATATATAAAAGGAATCCCCAGTTACGTGATCATAGACTTTCTGAATATCAAGTTTACATAACATCCCTGGAATCCCTATATGCAATCTCGAGTCAATGCATTCATTTTCTATAAGTACAAAATCCAATATCTGGCGCCCTTTGATGAAGGCATTCTGAAATTTAGACACCACTTTTTCCAACACCTTCTTTAATTTGTTAGCCAGCAGCTTTGCAATAATCTTGTACACCTCGCTAACTAAGGTGATCGAACAAAAATCTTTAATATCTGATGCTCCCAATTTTTTTGGAATCAGCACAATAAATGTAGCATTAGAACTTCTCAAGAACCTGCCACATTGAAAGAAATAAGTAAAGACATCCACAATGTCCGATCGTACCCCTTTCCTACAAGCCTTATAAAATGAGAATGAGAATCCATCCAGCCTTGGTGCTTTATCATCATTCATGCTAAACACCACCTCCGTAATCTCATCCTCCCCAAATGATCTCTCTAATAAGCTTGCATCCTCTTCAGTAATAGTAGAGAAATCTAACCCCTCCAACTCTGGCCTCCAGTCAAACTGCTCACGATACAGATTTTGATAGAAATTCACCATTTAGATCCCAATATTTTGTGGGTCTTCTTAAGTAACTCCGTCTACCACCAGCATGGTGATAGAATTGTTACGCTTGTTAGAATTGGCAAATGTATGGAAAAATTGGGTACATTTATCACCCTCCTTCAAATACTTGACCCTAGATTTCTGACGCCAGACTATTTTCTCTATCTCTACCAACCTCTCCAACTCTCCCCTTAATTCTCCACGCCTCTTCCTCTTATCCAGCTCTTCTATATCTAACATACATTAGTTTTTACGCCAGTTGAAATCTCCCACTACCTCCTCATTCCACCTCTTTATATCCCTCCTTAAGGCTTTCAATTTTTGATCGAACACATAACTGGGAAACCCCCTGAAATTGTAAGATGCCCACCAATCCCGTGCACGCTCCCTAAAGCCTTCTACTTTTAGCCACATCTTCTCAAACCTAAAAGGTCTTCTTACACTACACCTCGTAGTCCCGGCTAGTAAGATAGGGAAGTGATCAGAATACACCCTCCCTAGTCTTCTCTGGGTAACCTCTGGGCACTTTTTCTCCCATTCTCCACTAATCAGAAACCGATCTATTCGCGATAAAATAGGCTGCTCCCGATTAGAAGACCGAGTAAAGTCTCCACCAATCAGAGGCAGGTCCACCAACACATTTTCCCTCATAAAATCTGAGAACTCCTCCATTGCCTTTGTTAATCTCCCACCACTTGATCTCTCAGTAGGAAATCGAATCAATCACATTAGAAATACTTTACATATTAACACTCTCTTGAACCCTTCCTGATAGAGAAAATCCAGTCAGACTTTCCATTGTTTTATTACCATAACAGTGCAATTATTCTCTCTCTTTATCATATAAAACATCAAGCAACAATGGTTAAGACAATAACTTCTAAGGTGGAATCATTCACAAGTTGAACCCACTGACCTCTCAGGTACAGGACTAAGATATGGACCTTATGAGGACCGTCATCCTTATTCATACTCTCATGTAATCATTCATTTAGAGAACAACAATGCATTTGCTGTTGTTAAGGAGCTTGAGTGTGAAATTGAGGTATCTCAATGGGGTAGCGTTCAGGTTACTGAGCATTACAAGTTAGCTCATGCTGGTGCCAGGCATAGAAGCATTTTCTCAAAGTTAGATACCTCTAATCTCATGTAGCTTAGCATTCCAATCTTCAAATAATCAAATATGTGAGAAGTAAGTTTACAGTCAATATCGTTTTTTGCCAATTTTAGATGCACTCTGAAGTTTACTTTTCTGGCAACCTCGTTATAATGCAAGTATTTATTGATTAAAATGGCTATGAGCTTTGCTTTGTGATTAGAATTTTAACCAATATTGAACTGAAAATTTTGCCAACTTTAATGCTTGTATTTGTGTTATTTTTACCTTTTGTTTATACATTTCATCATTTTGTGATGCTTCTTTTGGCAGGTTGGAGTATCAGTCTAGACCTTCAATAAGCAGCTTCCCTTCCTTCAAGCATCTTCTTGCAGAGCTACCCCCAAGTGTTCATTCTATCTACTAAGGGATGATATAAGGAATATCTCATCATCACGTTTGCACACAAACTCTAAGAAGGTAATCTGTTAGGTTTTAATTGTATTAACTATTTTTCAGACAAAGAATTATTATAAAAGAGTTGTAAAAGTCAAGAAATCTATTGGGATGTTGTACATATAAACTAGGAGTCTTTGGGTTCGAATATAGAACATGGAGAAAGAGTCGCAGGAATTATGCTAGCTTGTCGCCAAGCTAATACTCGAGCATCCAAAACAAATTCATTGTCGCACGACTTTCATTCAAGTGACACACTTGTTGCTCACCTCGCGCTAGCCTATGCTCGTCTGATGGTGATTTTTGAGAAACACTAATTCGCGATTTTCAATAATTCTATCTATTTTATACTACCCCAATACCACTCTACTATAAATACACAAGCCTCGCTTCGTGAAAATGTGTGATTGATCATTATATTTTACCTTCATAACATCCCGTGGAGAGAGAACAACAATTCTACATTTTTAGATTAATCAACCACAAGTTGGAAAATATATCAAAATCACATAATCCAAAACATTCCATTCCTAAACATAATCAGGAAGGTATTTTCTCAATAACTTTCAAAGATTGTTGAAAATTGATAGAAGTTGGACCATAAGCACGAAAAGAGTACAAGAACAAGGTGTTGGGATCCACAGAAGACAGACAATTCCAAAAGATTGAAAGCAGGTGTGAGTGAAGCACGTTCTAACTGGTATTGGAGATTGCAGAATTAGGTCAGCGAGTTTAGTGAGTTTTCTAGGTTAGAACATACTACAAGTTCTTATTGTCTATAGTGGATCTCACTAACTTGGTCTCGGAGTTTTTAATTAGTGAAGAATTTTCTCCGTCAAAAAATTCTATGTTGTTTATTGCTTTATTAACTATTGTGGCAATTCAACATAGGATAAAATCAACTTGATTGATTAAACATTTAGAACAATTAAAAAGTAAATTGTTGCTTTTATTGGTAAATTTAATTCCACGTTATTCACCTATTCACCTCCCCTTGGTGATTTTTGGGTCGAAGAAGTAACTTTCAAACTTATTACACTATTTGTCAGCACATTTTGTGAGATCTTCTGATTAAATTATTAGTTAAACATTCTCAAGAAAGCACTTAATTAAAAGTGTTGACTAGAGGCAAGACTGACTTGGGTTTCTTTATCCATGGAGCATATTGTCATTGATTTATCACGTGTACATAAATGCTAAAATTTTCGCAACCAAATGGTCAAACAAGCTAGGTTTAGTCCCCGTTTGACCTCCATTATTCTCCATTAAGTTATAATTCATTTTTCCCTCTCTTTTTATCAATTATACATTCTCCAATAAAATAATATTACACATGAATTCAAAAAAAATTCTTCATTTTTAACCACATATTATTCAAAAAAGTACCATTCCTCTCATTATAATGTAAAATAAGGGGTGCCAAACGGGCGCTTAATATATACTTCCTCAAATCCCTGGAATTGTCCACTCTTGATTGATTTGTTGAAATTAATAGTCCTCCATTTGTAATATCAAATAAGAGGAAAAGGAGCCCACGGGGTATATTTCAGTGGTGTAAAAGAGAAGGGTGAGATATACTCAGCCTTGCTGGTAGTCGCAGTGTGAAGGTTCGATTCCTGAAACATCGATTGAGACTCTTTGTAGGCACCAGTATACATGTAGCTCTTGTTCCTTGGCCTGCTGAGGCACATCTTGCGGTTAACCTCTCTCACGATGCTCCAAGGGCGGGGTGGGACAGTGGGGGACCCTTAAGGTTGATGTTCAACCTTTTTTTAAATAAAAGGAAAAGGATGGAAGAGAATACTTTTTCTACTTGTATTTTCTTCTAAACTAAAATTAAGTCACCGTTTGGCCCCCATTAAATTCTATTTCATTTTTTTCTCTCCTATTTTCAACCATACAATCTTTTATAAAATAATATTACACATAAACTTAAAAATTTTCCTTTTTTTTTCAACAACTCCTTTAAAAAAAAAAAATCTATTCCACCTTTTCGAAAAATGGGGGCCAAACGGGGCTTATGGTAGCTGCCTTATTATTTTTTTTTTTTCTAATTTTCTATGTTTGACGAGACTGCTTTTCCTTTTCTTCTTGCCTGTCACTTGTATAGTTTTTCTTGAACAGGTCTATTACAACTTCAGTCCAATGTTTATGCTGCAGAATCATTGATGCTAGTTTCTGCTTTTTTCCTTTTCTTCGTTGCTTGCATTGCATAACTGCACATGGATCTTTCGACATGCAAATGACAAGCCTAATAATTTTCAAAGATCTAAGATGGTACCCGTTTGTGCTTACCCTTACTGCATTGATATTGAATTTTGTGGTGCATATGCATCATTGGTTGGTAAAACCATTGATTCTTGAATCTTTTTCTTTGCATTAGTATAACGTTCCGTCTCTTGCGTGTGACTTACGGCAGCTACAATTTTCAGTCGGCCAAATATGGAAAACTCTTGGAAGTTCAGTTTTGGATAAATCCTCCCTCTGTTTGTCGCTAAAGCCATGGATCTATGTCATATCCACAAGAGATTTGATGGTATTTATACTGAACTAATTTCTAATCTTCCCAGGTTCAATTATCTCGGAAAAAAAGAGTAACGTTATTTATAATCAGTGATCGCAATAATTATCTAATGTTTCAGTTTGTTATTTGAAGCAACAAAATTAAAAGAAATTAATGACCCAAATAATAAGATGGCACATAGTGCGACTAATAGTGAGACTGTGTTTGCTACATTAATATGTTATAGTTGTTGAGTAAACTGAGTTCAGTGGGCCTACGTTTTGGTCATATTAGAAGACACTTTCTATCAGAATCTTGTGCTATTTGTGTGAATAACTTAATTTACAATTTGAGACAAACTAGAAAGGGTAGCTTACAAAAATATCTTTAAAATTAAGGATCTTTTGAAAAATCATATAAAAAAATTTCTGGAAGTAAAAAATACCATCTAAAATTAAAAAGTGACACAATGTCACTTTTATTAAAAAGTGACACAATGTCACTTTTACGCTTGTCACTAAAAAAAAGTGACAAAAATTTTAAGAAATGTTACTAAAAAAAGTGACAAAAATTCAAAAAAAATAAAGGTGACAACTATTTAAAAAAGTGACAAATATTCAAAAAAAAGTGATCAATTTAAAAAGTGACACAAATTAAAATTATATATACATATTCAAAAAAATGACAGAAAATAAAAAAGTGAATTTTTTCCACATTTTTCTTGATCAAACACATTGCATGCATCAATCTAATTGATTAAAAGTTTTCTTTTTCATATTTATTATATAAAACAAAGTTTAAATTTGTATGTTTGATTTTTTTTTTTTTTTTTGAAAAAAGCACACATATGCATCTAGTTAATTGTTCCAATGAAAAAATATGACCTTTTTTTTTTTTTTTTTTAGAAAAGTTACATTATGCACTTTTTCACATTCTCTTTGAACAAACACATTTCATGCATCAATTTAATTGATTCAAAACTATCTTTTATGTATTGACATAAAAACAAAGCTTGGATTTATATGTTCATATTTTCAAAAATGCACACGTATGCATCTAATTAATTGCTCAAAAGATACTGTGACTTTTTTTAGAATGTCACTTTTTCACACTCTCCTTTCGTCAAATACCTTGTATGTATCAATTTAATTGATTCAAATATATTTTTTCATTTGTCTTGACATAATCAGTTTCTTCTAAAGTTCAACAATCTTATTTTCAAACATATTCCCAATCACAATAGCAAAATCATCAAAAAGAAATTTCATAAATGTTAATTATTTACATTATAAGGTTCAAACAAAACCTAATCAAAAATGCCAACATGCTCTTTGCTCCTCATTTAAGTTTCACTTCAACTAATAGAGACCAATCTGCTACCTCTTCAAACAACTATACTCTATTAGTAATCCTAGAAAGGATTAGGTAGCCAATCCCCTTCATCATCTATATGTTCAAAACCTGCCTCCAAATCCTTAGCCTTTCCTCTCTTTACCTCTTCCAAATTTATCCCGTAGCCAAATACATGAGTAAAGATTTATCAAGTTGCCCAACTTTCTGCCTAATGGAGTAATTTAGTGATGTATTCGAATCAAACATTCAATTCCACAAAAAAAATAAAAAAAAATCCAAAACTTCTCGAAATTTCACAAAATCAACAAATATCAGTAGAGAAGACTCCATAAATATTACGTTCAAAAAACATTAACATCCAAATGACCCGCAACAGCGGAATACCAACCAGGAAAGTAAATATTCAACCTCAAAATCTTGTAATGTCCGTTAAATAAGAATAAATTTACTCATACTTCTATTTCTTCTTGTTTATTCACATTGAGTTTTTTCAACAACTCATTTTCACCTAAGAAGGCAAAACATATATTAGTTTGCTAATGAACACACAAACGGGATATTACACAGCAAACCATCCTAAACATTGCCATAAATTACATATTGAACGAAAGCATCTCTAACAGCAAACTTGCACTACAACACAACATAATACATATGCAACATTTAACGGCAATTGAAACTTTCATTATCCAGAAAAACCTTGAAACTTAACAACAACTGAAGCAATTGGGACCGCTTAATTCATAAAATACAAATGAAAAATATTAAACATAAAGCCCAAAGGCCGAGATAATTAAATCATTGATTGCTATAGGATCTTACCTCTTTCATAAAATTAAATTGTTATACAAAGATGAGAGTGAGATGTGCACAAGGAAAAGAAGACGAGACCTCTGGTTCCGATCGATTATTCGACTTAGAAACAACAATCAATTTATGGGACCCCCATCAACAAATATGGTCGCAGATGTAGAATTTGGATTGCATGTTATAACAACAAATTCTAAAGAGGAGAAACCTCCAGTGGAAAAAGATTGAATGTCTTCTGGAATTGGGGATATTGAATTACGTTTTTGTGGGGTTTGGGATTTTTAGGACGTATTAATTATGTATTAAATGGTTTAATTAGTTTAAAAGGGAATTATTCAAGGGAAAAATCATAGTTCAGACACTAAGTATACACCCAAGCATATATCAGGTGCGTAGTTTGAATATTCAAAAGTTAGGTGTGTGTGTGTGTGTGTGTGTGTGTGTATATATATAGTCACAACCGTTTCCTAAATTTACGCCTAGTCCCCTTCTATATCATGACTCATTTCAGTACAAAATCGACATCCCAAAATTGAAAAATTCAGCTGGCATTCTGCGTTCTCACCATGAAACCCTATTCCGGCCGCTGACGATAACGACGCAGGTAACAGATATCACTGATTTCGATGATAAATTTCACAATCTCACCCGCGATTGAAACGTCGAGTCACATACTCTGAATTTGTGTTCGGTTAATCGAATACAGTCGCGAGAGACAAGAATAATCATTGAATTTCAAACTAGGATTATCAATTTATTAATACGGTCATATTTGCAGCAGAAGAAATCTAGCATTAGTCACAGAAGTCCTGATCATCGCTGAAAATAGATTACAGGTACGTGCTTCGACAAATGATATGATATCTGACTATGTGACCAATGCGCATATTGTATGTAATGTAATATGAAGGCCACATATGAGACATGTGATGAATGAATTAAAGTGTGTCTCAACAATATTGAAATTCATATTCTCTGTGATTCATTTTTTGAAGAATGTGACCTGAATCACTCGATATATAGAACTACTGCACATAATCTGAGTGAGACAATTGTGTTACATGATTTGTGACCCATGTGATATTCAGTCATATTCATTCTTACATGACGTACTTCCAAAAATGTGACATGAATGAAAACACTCGTAAAATTAAGTGCACGCTGTATATGTGACTAATGCGCATAACTTGTGTAAGTGAATTGTAATTCCTAAACTGTGACTTATGTTTCTACCATGCATTCAACTTTATGGAAAACGTGCATGCCTGTTATTTTAGGAGTTCATACACAAACTCTGTCAATCGTTACACTTTCATCATTAGACCACTAACAAATGTAAATTTAATTTGCAGAAATGATGTACTTGCACGTGTGCCTGTTGCATGCATCTCAAACTTCTTTGGCGTTGGTAGATTGAAATTGCAGATATGTAAACCTTGTGGACACGGTAATGAAAGAGTTCGATTTGGATCCTACAAAGATGGCAGTCTCATTGAAGTACACACTGAACGAAGATTTGCCTCCAATTAGAATCAGAAATGATAGTTATGTGCTCTCTTACATCATGCTCAAGGATATGGAGCGCAAACCTACTAAATACCCATTAATCATTGATGTTGCGGAGGCAGAAGTAGATAAACCCTCTATCATACTGCCAGTTAATCCACATGTTGTTGGTGAGTTATGTACGTTGTAGGATATGGCATCAGACATTTGTGAAGCAGCAATTGAAAATGTACATCACATTGATGACAACGAAATCACAGTTGTTTATGTTGCGGATGGTAGAGATGTCGAAGAAGGAAGGGTCTTCTGTGATAAAGATATTTTAAATTTAAGCTTGTCACTTTTTGTTATATAGAATATGTTTGAGTTTATGGTGGAGCGGTCAGACAAGAAAGAATAAATTGTGAGGTGCTCACAAGAGGGATGTAGTTGGATATGTAGAGCATCCAAATGGGGTAAAACGGAACTGTTTAAAATTCGGAAGATTGGTAGTCACATATGTGCATCAAATGTAGTGCTGGGGTCACACAGGCAACTAATAGCTACAGTTGTGTCCTCTAACATCAAGTACAAGTATACGTCGTCTCGTACTATATACACACCGAAGGATATATGCAGTGATATGTTGCATACTTATGGGATTTATTTAAATTATTCGAAAGCATGGAGATCTCGTGAGCAAACCCTGAGATGATAAGAGGTGATCCGACCGATTCGTTCGGTAACATACCAAGTTTTTTCTACATGCTTCAACAAAAGAATCCTGGAACGGTCACAAACTTGGAGGTTGACGGTCACAATCGCTTCAAGTAGTGCTTTATGGCACTTGGTACATCAATATGTGGTTGGAAACATTGTAGGCCTGTAATTGTGGTTGACGGTACGTACTTGAATGGTCACTACGGAGGTACACTTTTCATAGCATGTACGCAAGATGCAAGTAACAATGTATTCGTCCTTGCATTTGGGATTGAAGATAATGAGAACGACAAATCTTGGAGATGATTTTTAGAAAACCTGAAAAGGCATACGGGAATAGAGAAGGGCTATGTTTTGTATCGGATCGACATAATAGTATAAAGAATGCAATAGAACATGTGTATCCGAGAACCTATCATGGTATATGTTCGTACCATTTACTGCAAAACTTGAAGTCACATTTTGGGAAATCTGGACAAAACATTACACAAGCTTTCAATTCAGTTGTTAGAGCTTACACATTGGAAGAGTTTGAATATCATATGCGGCAACTAGACACGATGAATCAGAAGATTAGTACTTACCTAGTATTGCAGTACTTCAATATAATTTTTCACAAAACATTGTAATTGTTACATATTGTAGTTATATGATATTACTCAAAGCAATACATGTTTGTAGGCTGAGGTTGGTCCATATGCCAGAAAATAGGTATTCAACAATGACATCGAATATCGTAGAATCAGATAATGCAGTCACAAAGGCAGCCAAAAATTATCCAATCGTATCCCTACTGGAGTCATTACGACAAACTACGCAAAACTAGTTTTGTAAACACAAAGACAACGCGCATGGGACTTTCAAAAATTGACAAACAAATACGAGAACGAGATCAGAAAAATGAGTATAGATTTAAAGAACCTAAGGTAAGTTTTAATTTTAACGATAACAACTACTCATGCGACAGTTGCTTAAACTAATGTGACTTGAAATTCACATCTGTGATAGCATATGTTTGTATGCTTATGCTCCCTTTATATATGTGACCTCAACTCAATGCATGTGACATTTCTATACAATCCCGTGACATTAAACTGTGCAACTACATATGACCTTTTCATATAATTCTGTAACAGTAAATTGTGCAACTGTGGCTTACTTAGATATATAATTTGTGACATGCACCTGAAGACTGTGACTGCTGGGTATATACTTGTTTGAACTGACGTAATTTGTCCATTCGATTATATTCTCCCAGGTTTTTCCTTCCAACCAGTCAATGTTTTCTGTTAGCAGTGATAAGACAACTTTCGTTGTTGATATTGAGAAACAGACATGCACATGCAAAATGCTGCAAGTTGATTTATTACCATGTCCACACGCATTGGCTGTAATTGCAAATACAAAAAGGGATCCATATACTTTCTGTTCTTATTATTACATACGTGATGCATACTTGAACGCATACAAAGACTCGATATATCCAGTTGGAAATCCAAGCGAATGGACATTACCTAAAGACGTTCTACATGAAATTGTCTTAGCTCCTAATCAGAAACGGAGTTGTGGAAGGCCAACTGAGAAAAGGAAGAGATCATCCAGAGAAGGGAAACCAATAGTGAAATGTGGGCACTGTGGAGGATATGGTCACAACCGTAGGAGATGCTCCAGTCTTGTCCCATTGAGCCAATATTAGTCAATGCAATACATTTCAATAGCACTGAATATATGTGACCATTGTGTTTTAGAAATATTCATTTGTAATACAAAATTGACGTCATAGGCAATCCATTGTTTTTTCAAGTGTGCAAATTCTTATTTGAGTCTAAGTATTTTTTTGTTCATACAATCATTCAGACAAGGCCAATGGTTATGTAATCTAGATGGTTGTGAATCCCTATTCCTCACATAGCAGGACCTGTGACCTGATGTCAAACACATAAACGTTGTTATTGCATTGTGTGGTCATTGCTAATTCAGAACTGTGACCTGATGAATCAGACACATGCATGTGATCAAACTTTAAAGACATGACCCATTGGTATGGAAAAAAAATTGAGATATGACTTCGTAACAACTCTGTGACCAAAATATGATGAACATGTGACCTCAATTCTATGTAAATGTGACCAATAATAAATACATGTAATCACCTAACAGTTTTGGGACATAGTGTGATGACATGTGACACAAAATAGAGTTATCTGTGACCAATAACACATAAAAGGATTAAATTTGGCTAAAAAAAAGTTATGTGCCACTGAATTAAGTTATCTGTGACATTCTCTAACAATAAAAGATCATATACAGTAACTGCTTGTGATTACTTAATTGGTGACCCAGTACAAAGTAACTCATGATCTATGACCATCCATGTGCATATAAACCCAAAATAACCTGTGACCAAAATATAACAGTTCACGAAATCAATTCCTGTGGAAGACAATTACTAGATTTTTATAACTTGAAAAGTGATGCTGTCATATATTTCACACGTAAAATTTCGTGTACATAGCAACAAGACAATCCACTTGAAAAACAACGACAAAAATACAAAAAGCCATGTGTGTACAGATCACAAAATCTACCAACTAAAACTTCATCTTCCTAACACATATTATGTCATTCTATAACCATCCCCTCCTCCATTAATCCCTGCTTCGCATGCTTCACGTACATCTCTCGATATTTGTAAAGTAGTGCAGCAATACCCAATCTACACTTGTTAATGCCGAATCTATGTGGAATAGAACATCGTCCGTCACAGATGATGTATAAAGCGTACAAAATCACAAATACCCCGCAATCATGACTGCAAAATAACAGTGAAAAATTAATGTTATGATTGAAAAATTATCAGGTCAAGCATACATAATATGTCATAAGAATTACCCATTTGTCTGCTAAGATAGCGTACTGTTCATGTACACCTTCAATTCCTTGGAGCCAGGTCTGTCGTAATCAGGGTCATTTTTCGAAATTCCCAAAGCATTCATAAGTGCTGGAAGGTTTTCATATATGGTTCAATGCCTTCTAGAACCTTCCAGTCACGATATGTTTTACCTGTTGAATTGAACACTGTCAAGGTGTGGCTTTTGAATTGTAGTACACCTAACATCCAGTGGGCCTTGTTTGTGGGCAGTATTGACATGAACACATGGTCAACATCAACCCAAGGTGTGCTTAAAGGTAGGCTGTGACCAGTTATGACATTAACAAGGCTCGACTCTGACATCAGAACCTGGGGATCCTTCATAAAAGCAGGGTATATGTCTTTTATTTTATGCTGAAACAAAGAATTTGTTGTTGTGGCTCTAAAATGTAAATTCTTGCCATGTTTTGCAAGCTGGCGAATGTAGTAGAAGCACGCATCCATATGTTGTAATAAAAGGAAACAATGACATTAAAGAAAAGGAAAGTCTATGTAAATGTGACCAACATGTGAATATGTGACCAATATATGAAGTGTGACCAACAATGATATGTAAGTAAAGAAGTTAAAATATGTGGCCAGTCTGTGGAAATGTGAGAATATAATGTGGTTTTATTGTATCGTGCTACTCAAAGATGATTCTGTGTGTATAAAATTGTAGAACCATGACTTGTGACCAACTGAAAATGAACCGATGACGAATGCAGGTTTGATTTTGTCGTCCTCGTCGTTAAAATTTTTCCTGCAAACATGAAATTGAATATTGAGTGTTGCGCTACCATGAATTGTTAAGTTACATTGTCAGATATAAACAAATTATAAGTACTTGTTTTTAGGTTTTAAACCCCTCTGGAACCAACTCACGAACGTAGATCTGTCAACTTCTTCAATGTCGCCTTTGAAATGCTCAAAAACTATGACATGATCATCATGTTTGAACAATTTACCTTCTCCAACAACGAACGGAGATTGTAGTATCCTTGCAGGCCTCGAAACCCGTTTGACTGGTAATTCAGAACGACCATCAGGAGAAGTGGATTCCTATATATTGTTGTAAAAGCTTGTTATGTTTCATATCAGACATATGAAACTACATGTGAATAAGTTTTGAATGATCTGTGACTTGTTAAAGTTTTCTATTATTGGCATGCAGTTGATTTGTGACAAGTACAGAATGAATAATGGCTTTGTGAATACCTCTACATGAACACTTTTGGTTGCCGTCAACACGTCAGATATAATGGAATCTACCTGTTTCTGAATGTCTTCAGAGTGTACGTCTTCAGGTTGCGTATATCCGATCCCTAAATCGAACGATGGTGGTTGAAGACTATAGGGAGTACCAATGTCTTCACTTGGGTCTATCTTACCTTTCCCTTTCCTGTTAACATTTAGCTACACTGTTTGCACCTGTATCTTGGAGAAGAAGAATACTTAGCATGTCAATGTGACCATAGTGTGTATAATGAAATGTGTAAATATCATGTAAGTACCTCGTCGGTCTTATCAGAGCCTCTAGCAACATGAGTTCCCTTATCTCCAACTCCGTGAATTCTGTGCCTCGATCTTTTGCTTTTCACTAAACCGTCTCATGATCTCTTCCATTGAAGAAGATATCATTGCTGACACAGTTTCGGACAGAAACTGCATGTTAGTTTGAATCTCCATCAAGTCAGTTTTTAAGACACCTTGCATTTGGATAATGGAGTTCATTTTTGTAGAGTGCACATCATTGAAGCATGACATCTGTGACTTGATGTCACCAAGCTCCCTATTCAACAATTTATTGTCCGACTGCAGTTTGCATAATTGCATCCTCAGATCATCATATGCTTGACATGACACTATAACAACACAAGTGTAACCAGTTGTATGAAAAAAAAGGGGTTATATGTGACCTAGGAAAATATGTTCTGTGAGGAAAATGTAGTGGATATGTGACCTACATCACAGTGATCTGTGACCAATGATTTCAAAATGGTAATATGTGACCTAAGACATTGATCTGTGTTCGCTAATTTCAAAAAAATAATTACATCCACTTACATCAACCCATTGTGGCATGTGAGGGTGTGGTTCATCTGGAGAATTATGGGCAGCTGACAGTGCTTCATCAATTGGAGATTTTTCACGGAGGGGTGTGTCTTGACGTCGTGGTGGAGGATCAACGAAATCATCATCGTCGTTCGACACATTAGGCTGTCCCATACTGCTATCCGTTAAGAGGATCGCTGACTTTCCACTAGCACTAGCATTGTCGGCTGATTTCTTTGTCCTCTTTTTCCTGCGGCTCTCACTTAACAAGTCCGGTTGAATCGGCTTCTAGTACTGGACATTGTTCATATATGGCATGGCCATTTCCGTTTCCGATGGTTCCAGGTCATAAATCACAATATGCAAAAGTGTATATTAGTAAAAGTGTATAACAGTTCAGTATACTGGTAACAAGGCTTACTGATTTATTACATCAACATTTGCGAAGTAGTCAGCTCCTTCCAACTTAGCAGCAGAAGGTTGTTCATTTGCCATCCAATTCATGATTCGGGGATGTGTCTTCAATGTTCGTGTGACAATAATTCCATCTAGACTTGGAAAAGTCTTATAAATCCATACTTGAAAGTCTACCAACATACCTCGTAGCCTGTAATGTGGAGTTCTCCTACTCAACCCATCTTTCAGTAAACCCAAGGTAATGTCAAATAATAATTTGCCCCATGGGTATTTGTTCATCACATCGAAGTCCTCAACTAGAGCAAACAAGTAGTTGTCAAAAACTTTCTTTTAATCTCCAGGAAATAGATAGGCGGTGAGAAAATACAAAGCACCAATCCTAGCAACGTCATCATCCGGCAGAGCTTGGACAAGATCCAAGTCCGGCATTTGACACGTAGAGATGAATGTCGATTTGATATCTTCATGTGTTACATTATCCACTTGAGAAAAGTATTTTCCCTTCATTTTTATGTTCTACTGTCATACATTTGTGTATCACACTGTCCATGACATCTTAGGCCTGTGACTAAACTGAACTCGGAGATAGAGAACCTCACATACCTTCCAGCCACATAAAACCACATTTTTTCGCTGTTCGGCTGACGAACCTGTCTCAGAAGGAAGAAGTGAATCAGTTGTGGTTGTATTGTGATCTCGTCGCACTCTAGAAAATGAGCAAAATAGGTTCCCATCAATATACGTTTCTGTTGTCGGATTAAGCTTATCTGAATGGTATTCAAGACATCTTTATAGACTGAGGTTGTAATTTTCCCAGGAAACCACCCATCTTCTGGTATTATGAATTCCTAGGTCTGTATTGGAATTGCAGACAATGTTAAACACTTGTAATGAAAGAAATCACACACAAATGATATGTTACAACACAAAGATATTCAATTAATAACATGCTCTGCCTAACAGGTCACATATGCATACACATGTCCCTTGGGTCAGTAAGTTGAATAGCACAGGTCTTCATTGTTAGAAATGTCAAGTCACATATTCAGTCAGCTCAGGTCACAGATCTAATATTTGTTAGTACTTCCAATGTACATACATTGGAGCCAAGTCACATTGTTAGTACCTTTGACTCAACCCAATGTATAAGACATCAAAATTAAAAACACAAATTCAATCCCATACACATGTCGCATTGTCACGTCACAAATTAGTTTTCAATAAAATGAATAAGGTCACAGATTATATCAATTCATCGTTAGCACCTCTAAGTCACATACAATGAGCTTAGGTCACAGATCATCTACTATGGT